TGGTAGTCCCTCTACAAGATTACTATCTTGCACTTCCCACTAAGCCTGTCCCATTTAAAGAATGTGCCATTACTCTATGGGGGGCAGCTACAGGAAATACATTGAAAAGGCACTTAAAATACACTTAGGCGAAACCCTAAAACCTCCCCGACGCCATATCATAAATCGCCGAACCCTGCATAACCCAAGCTACCCTTATGCCTCTAAGCTGGACTGTACACATAATAGGATCAGACTTGTGCTTCGCTGCAGCTCCACCCCCCGGTCGCCGTAGCATCCATCCGCTGCTGTGGCTCCGCCTTTTCTGCCGACCCGAAAAAAGTGAACCTCAGCCACCCCTCAAAGCTCCCGCTAAAACTCCGAAGTCTACAGCCCATCCTGTACCGGATAATTTGCCAATCCGGCGAAATGTCTTAAAACAATCCCCGTAACAAAACCTTGGTGCCATTCTCCCGCGTGTAAAATTGCCTGCCGCCGTTTCCGGCACCTTCAACCAACAAAATCGCTAGACATACGCCTAGTCGGCGGTCAAGTTCGGGTCACATCCCGCAACCCTGCCGTTCGATGACGGTCGGGCCGACAGGTCTCGGTCATCCATTCCGCAACCGTTTGTCTAACCCCGGGTCGGGAGAGTACACACACACAACGGCCCTCGTACCCGCCATGCTATGAACCCGAAGTAGCGATATTCCATATCCTTCACTTGTATAACACCACGCCCCATTTGTGCTGCTTTGGATCCAAGACCTATCATAACGATCACACCGAAAAACCCCGTTTAGATCAACAACCGTCCGTCAAGCAGCACACGAACACTGACACATCGCGCACACCGAAACGCCGACCTAAGTAACTCGTACTTCTAGGTCTTGACGCACCATATCGATTTCGAGAATTTTAGATAATATACGAGAGAGCGCGCATGCGATTCAAAAAGTGGAATATCTATCCACACAAAATAAACGAATTAATATATAATGCGCCTAGAACCTATGCAAATATCGAAATCCCAGAGACTCGAGATGCCAATTTCCTAAAAAATAAGGATGCAAAAACAGTTTGAAAAGATTTTCTTCTCAATAAAGACAATAACACCAATGAGAGTTCCGTCAAGATTCCAGCGTCAGATGCACGATCACCTGGATGGGATTATTATTGAAATTAATTCTTTCATTACGCCGTGCGCTTTCACAGCAGAAACTGCAGTATAACGGCTCAACACACGCATCGCTCTTCATATAAATCCAAGAGAACCGGATGATAACACTCTATAATGTTCTGCATTGATATGAGACGTGGAGACTGGTTCACAAGAGCACTTCATGCCAGTCTAGAGAGATATACGAATTTCTTCCATCTTGTCTGTTTCTAGCGCACACACAACCCCGCGTCGGACCCATCGGCTATGAAAACTATAGATCGTAACACATGAGTGATTTCCGTATACCACAAAAATTTGATCAGTTCCCCATTGAAGTTTCGGACGTCCACTCTCCTTACGAAATTAGGCATTTTTGGATTGAAAAAATGAGGGTGGTGCAACAGCTGCTCTTGACCTTAATTATATAGTTTCGGGCGCCGTTTTTAAACAATATTAATAATTAATTGGGTGGTCCTGGATTTTTTATTTTTTTATTTTTTTTGAAAAGAAAATCTTTCAAAGTCCGATTCTCTTTTTTAGGAAACTTGTTATTATATATTAATTCGTTGTTTTTTTTTTCTTTTTTTCTAACAAGTAACCAACCTGTTTCGTTGTTTTTTTTAGATGCATTAATTTTGATTTTGAAATATTTAAAATTAGATTGCGACATATAAATTACTGTACTATTTTTAGTCACTATTTGTCTAATATAATTTTCTAATTTTAAATATACATATTTTTAAGTGGCTAGAACATGAAAAGTCACTACTAAACTACAAAATCTTATATAAATTAATATAAAAGATAAAATTTTTAATAGTTTTTATTTTTAATTACTTATATATTATTTAAACAAATATATTTTTTATAAAAAAATAAGAAATGAGAAATGATCCATATGCAACTTTGAATATTTCTTTTTAAAAAAAAGCCATTAACAGTTCCTATTCTCACGCTGCCCGCATAAGTAAAATTCAGTTATAGAATCATGTGGTCGGTAATATTGGGATCGTTCAATGTCCTCCCATAAAAATCGTTGAAGCTGAGGAACCCGGCTAAACAGATTTCCAGGAGAACCCGAATAACTAGGGGCGGATCCAACTTAATTTTTTAGGATGGGCAAAAAAAAAAATTTCTGAGGTATAAGTAAAGAGTTTAGAATTGATAAAATTAAAACAAAAATAATTTTTGAGGGGTACAAAATGCTCAAAATATCTAAATTTTTTTTAAAATACCACATATAAATATTTAATATATAAAAAGGACGATATCAATCGGATCCTCAGCCCCAAGGCCTCCTGTGTCTCGTTCAAGGTTTCTCAATATCGATGCTTCGCTAACAAAGTGCCTAAGAAGAAATACATCTGAACAATTATTGACGACGACGACGACTGTTTTCTCATTTTCTCTGCTCCTCCATCGACTAGAAGAAGAACTATACAGATTCAGCAATGGTGCAAACACTGGCAGAGGAGAAATTATTCTGTACATAGTCCGAACGCAGGGATAGCTTCGGATGCTGCATATTTACTGCTTATCTGTTGCGTATTTTTTGTGTATTTAATTTTTTCTAAGTATTTTTTGCGTATTTATTGTGTATTTAGTGAGTATTTAGTGAGTATTATTTATTTGTTATTTTTTGGCACAAAAAAAAATTGTATAAAAAATACGCAACAAATAACCAGTAAATAAGCAGCATCCGAACGCGTTCGTAATGCGTTCGGATTACGTACAGAATAATTTCTCCTGGAAGAGAGAGGCAAAGCAAAAGAAGAACATTCCTCTCGTAATAAACATCCTCTCGGCTCTCCTCAAACGCACAACCAACCAAAACGATGAGCTCACGGCATCTCAGCAGTATCGGCGCCACCCTCCATCAGCGGCGAAGGCCTTCTCTGGCTTAGTCATACCGACGATCTCCATTCGCAGATATCTCGAACACATTTATTTTAACACTGACTGCAGTACCTGTTGCTATGTAATCGCCTTCATTTACTTAGACCGGTTCCTTTATTTCAATCCCTCTGTCAGACTAGATTTCTTCAATGTTCATCGCTTTCTCATCACAGCCATCCTCACATCTGTAAAATTCATGGATGAAAGGTTTGCCTTCTGCTTTCCTTTACTTTTAGCATGATATAAAATGGTATGTGTGTAAATCTCTCATTATTTATTTATTTATTTATTTATATAAATTTGTAAGCAATATATGTGGTATTCATTTACTATTGATGGACATTATTTTTTTATAATTGAAGAAACTAGTTTGTTTGATTCCACTGTTCGCCTAACTTAAATAAAATGTTCTGTTGGCCATCGTTTTGCGCATACTGAACTCTTCTTGCAAATAATATATTATAAGTTTTTTTGAAAATATGTTTGTTACGGACTAGAATATACGCAGCGATAGAGTTAGAATTTTTTGTCTCAGCATTATAAGAATATCCATCAAACAAACAGAAGAGAAATAAAACAAACACCTCGATTTTTACATGGAAACCCTGGAAAGGAAAAAACCGGGCCACACCCAGTTGAATGGATTTCACTAGTATTTGCTTGAGGTACAAGAGGCTGATTCTTCCTTAGAATTTAGGACAATCAGATTACAATAGTCCACTCCTAGATTGAAATTCAATTACAAACAAGAATTTGAGATTCAACGATGTTGGGTATTTGGGCAGAATCCTAGGGACGTCACTCAGAGATCCAACAGAATTCTGGCGTTACTTGGAGATCGAGCGAAGTTTCAGCGTCACTTGGGGATCGGGCGAAGTTTCAGCATCACTTGGAAGTCAGACGGAACTCTGGCGTCACTTGAAACATGGGCGGAACTCCAACGTCACTTGAAAGTCGGGGGAACTCCGACATCACCTGAAAGTTTGATGGAACTCCAGCGGAGGTCGAGAAGCAGCTTCTTCCCTCCTTCTCTTATCTTCTTCTTCCTTGGGTCCCCTCTTATGAGAAATGAGGGGCTATTTATAGTTTTCTGAGGATAGCATGACCAGTAAATAGGAGGAGAATCAAGGGCTAATGGGGAGTGGTTTGGATGGACGGTCGATATTGAACCCCTTGATCGTGGACTGTTCGTTGGACATTTAAATGTCTTAATGATATTGGAATTTGGCGATCTTGGGCTTGTTAGATTCGTCTTGTCGAGCCACTCGATTCGACTATAAGCATTTCATGTTTGGAAACCGTTTAGTAATTCAAATTATGTTTTGAACCTTCCAACAACGCTTCAAGTCTTCGATTCAAACTCATTTGGGCTTGGATATAGTTGAATTATGTGTCGTTGGGTTCATATTTTTGAGACACTCAGTTCGACTGTAAGTTTGTTGAAATCGGAGTTCATATGGTCCAAGATTTAATTTTTGAAACTTCTGACCTGATTTTGCCTTGAGATTCGTGCCCGGTCAAGATAATTTTTTGATGATATATCAATGTTAGTTTTTTTTTTTGGTGTTTAAAGCAATCTTCCTTTATATAATTTATTGTTATGAGAACTTCAGAAACGATCAAAATAATTAGGAAACGACAAATACAATTTCTCTCTCTTTCACTCTCTCTCAATAGAAAGTTGAGTTTACTTATGAATGTTAACAAATACAACATTTTTTTCATTAAAAACTGTCGATTCAGCTTTTATGAAAATAAGAAAAATTTTATAGGATCGTTGTAATAATTCCCACTTAGGGGTGTAAATGAGCTCAGCAGGTTCGAGCTCAACTTATTAACAAACTGATGAGTCGAGTTTATCGAGTCAATGTTATGTGTGGAATTTGATTATAATGATCAATATGGTTATTATGTTGTCTTGCACCAAGAAATTTTTTTCATGTGCAATGCCCTGGTGCTACGTACCCGAGCGCCTCGGTGTTGTGTTCCCGAGCGCTCCAGTGTTGAATGACAGAGAGCAGAGTGTCACGGCGATGCAAAACAAAGGCTTGAGCGCTGCAGCGCTCTAAACTAGCACCACAGCATTGCGAGACAGACTGAACGGTTTTATTTCACATTTTTCTGAAAGGTTGCATACCTTGAAGTTATTTTACATGGCTTTCTCTTGTATTTTGAGTAATTACACAATGAGAATGGTGTATGTGAGAAGAGAAGCAAGGAGAGAGTAAGAAAGAAGAGAGATTTGTATTTATTTCTCTCAATTTTCATAGTGGATTTCTTGTGTGATATGGCTTCGTGATTTGTTTTCCCTATTTTGGATTTTTTCACGTTAAACACTGATATCCTTTACTTTTCCACTGCTTTTACTTTCTTGCTTATTTCTTCGTTGTGGTGTTTACTCCTAATCTCATCAACAATCATGAGTTCGAGACTATACTCATGCTCATATATTAAACAAGCTCAAGCTTGAGCTCAATCTGGCTCGGCACATAAGCTCATCAAACCACTCAATTAACTTCACATAAGTCCATCGAACCACTCGATTAACTTCAAATATATTTAAAAATTAATTTAAATTAGCATTCTATAATATATGTTAAAAAAAATTAATTAATTCCATATTAAGATAAAAAATAATTTAAAAAAAAATTATTTAAAAATCGAGCTTAACATTCAAGTCAAGCTCGAGCCATTAAGTTGAGCTCGAGCTTAATAAATGAGCCCGGGTCAAGCTCGAGTTAAGTAAAAAACTCAACAAGCTCTAATTAGATTAGATAAATACTTGACTAGACTCACTCTTTCACACTCCTATTCCCCCTCATTTTCTTATAAAATAGAATTTCAATCTCTTGCTATCCTAATAAAAATGGGAAAAAAAAAATCATTAATGAATTTTCAACGCAACGCGTGATAGAAACAAGTTTCATTTCATCTTTTAATAGAAAGTAAAAAACTCTTCCCATTTCTTAAAATTTATGTTCAATATTATAAAATCTTATATATTTCAAAATCAAATATAACTTCTATCATCATGCTTTCATGATTTCATCGCCACATGAATCTACGAGCAACTAATTTCCACACAGTCATCAGATGCCCTTAGGCTCTGTTTGATGAGATTAGGTTCCTTATACATAATGTGTATAAATTTATACACATTGTGTACGACTATATACATAATACGTATATTATGTATATAAATTTGTACTCACTATATACATATTTTTATAATTTATATATAATGTGTATAATTGTACACACTATGTACAAGAATATATGTCACGTTTTTATTAAAGTCCAGATATAACTGAACTCCGCACGTAATAATTTCTCATGTTTGACATAGCTTTATGGCGCTCGCTTCTGACATTCATCAAAGGCACACAATATTCTCCATGTTAAAGCCGTCCCAAACGAAGCCTAAGTCTAAGTATTCCAAAGCAATGGCCAAACATAAACTTTGGTTGCGATCTGAAAAATAAAGCTGCAAGAAAACTATCCCAAACTAAGCCTTAAGTTTCGTTTGGGTTGGCTTTCTTATTGCTTCTTAAAGCAACTTTCTAGGTAAAAATTTTTAATTTATGTACTAAAATTTTACTTTAAGAAGCAAAAATAAAGCTGACTCAAACGAAGCCTTAATCTAATAGAATTTAATTGATAAAAACAAGATTCAGCACAATAAGCAAAGTGCAAAGTTACAGCAGGGGAACTGAGAGTCATGATCCCACAAGCCCTTTTTTTTAAATAAAACCCTAAAATCTAGCCCATGGTCCTGACTCCCCAGTCCCCACGCCTCAACCACAACCACAGTCTAAAGCTTCGTTTGGGACGGCTTTTTTATTGCTTTCTAAAACGGATTTTTAGTACAAAAATAAAAAAATGTGTACTAAAACTCCGTTTTAGGAAACAATAAAAAAGCCGTTTCAAACGAAACCTAAGGCTTCATTTGGGACAGCTTTTTTATTGCTTTTTAAAATATATTTAATTTTTGTATTAAAAAATTATTTTAAGAAACATAAAAAAACCATCCCAAACGAAGCCTAAGAATCAAGTGAAGCATAGCTGAATCACCGTGATATTCTGTGCAAAAAATATATGCTCAAGTGCTCAACCATGGGATGATCCTTTGTTCTTAACCGCATATAGAATGTATGTAATGTGCAAACTACAGCTGGCCATTTATTTTTAAAATTATCAAAATAAGATGGATCATATAACTGTCAAAAATATTAGAATTCAATGTTTGATTAAAAAATTAAAAACCTTATAAAATTATACTTCGTTTATTTCTCGCTAGTTGGTAATCATTCACTCTCATAAAAAAATTAATAGACGGTGAGCTTAAATTTTTAAGCTAAAAGATGACTCAAGCAAGGCTAATGTCATTTTATCCTCAAACTTAATTAAATAATTGTGTATTTACATAGATTTAAAATGACATATTTCAAAATAAAGACTTGATAAAAAACATTGTTAAAGTGATACTCTTAATAACAAACTTTTTCTCAACATATCATATTAAAATTATAATAAAATAAATTATAACTACCAATTTTAAGCCAAATTTTGAAGGAGAAAAGTTATGAGTTTTATTAAAATCCCCCTATACGTCATGCATAGAGAAAACTCCTATTCATGGAGAAATTATTCTATGCGGACACCGGACGGTTCGGAGACCAACTAGAACACACCACTTCACCTGGTACACAACGGTATCGAGCACCAGTACCGAGAAAAAAGTGACGTGACGAGTTTTGGTTGATCTCCGAATGTCATCCGGGTCCGCACATAATAATTTTTCCTATTCATGAGCATCATTGCATGGGTCTTTCCCCCTTTTTGCAAGGAGAAACTGATATGTGCATAGTTCCAGACGGGAGCTATATATGTCCGGACTCTGCCTGTAATAATTTCTCTTCTGCAAGGAGATTAAAATGCAAAATAAATCATATTTAAGTCCTTAAGACTAATAAGCTTCCATAACAGCAAAAATAACACAAAACAGCAAAAAACTTCAATTTGTAGAAACCATCTAAATCTGCCATATACTTTCCTTAATTAGATGTCCAATCATCAGCAGAATCACTATCAAACATAGGAAATAACCCATTTGTATCGATACAACAATGTTGCAGCACTGTATTTCAAAGCAAGCTAATTACAATCATCAAATCATCCTCAATCCACAAGTTCATCTCAAATTTATCAGCCATCTCCTAAAGAAAACCCAAATAAATAATCCTCAGCTCTGCCATTCTGATAAAAAACATAAAATTTTTATCTACAAAATATATTGCCAAATGGCCTCAATTCATAAGCATTCAACTACCTAACACACCTTAGCAATTACAGCAAAAGTTGCTAGACACCTAGAATTAGCTGGGCCATGGCATTCTTTCCATGTGAGCGCCCAGCTACCGATCTGCCTTAACCTGCAAGCATTCTAATTTCTAACCACCTCCTTAAAGGAAATGGAAAACATGTAGAGGTTTATAATCATATAAAGGAGAAAACTAAAACCAGTTCCCCAAAAAAGATTAAAACCTGATTTTGTTACTGTTACGCTATGTAAGTATCTAAAAAACACAAAAGATTAGTATAATACTGATGGACGAAACCCTAGGCCGATCGATCGGAACACTGAACTCCAGCCGATTCTAAATCGGCGTCTTTCTTCTCAGAGATCGGCACCATCTCACCGGCAACCTTGCCATTCTCCCCCGCCCCAGCGGCCAAGGAAGCATCGGGTGTCCGAAAGATGGCGTGTGCAACGACTATCGGCGAAACAGCCGCAATCGCGAGGAAAAGGTTAACAATAGCGCTGGCGAGCGCGAGCTGGATGATTACGAATACGACAAAGATCCCCGCAACGATGCGGGGGACGAGGATGCGGTGGAGGAGGGCGGAGTTAGGGAAGAGACGGAGGAGGACGGCGTAGGAAAGGATGACCTTGGAGATTAACATGAGGAAGAGCATCGTGGCGCGGTGGGAGGGGCAGAGGAAGATGAGAAGGGAGAACCAAAGGAGGAGGGCGTAGTGGATGCGGAAGGCGGCGAGGTTGCGTGAGATGCGGGAAGCGGCGGCGGAGCGATTGGAGGGGAGGGAGAAGGCGCCGGGGCGAGCGAAGCGGGTGATTGCTCGGCGGGCGGAGCGAGCGTGGAAGCGAGCACGCTCCGCCGCTGCTGTCGCAGCCGAGAGAACGGCGGATGGCCGGAGTATGGCGCCGTGGGTTGCCATTTCCTCCTGCTCTGAGCCCCCGCTCTTCTAGCCTTTCGTTCTACTCTTTCCCTAAAGAGCTTGGAAGAAGAATTGGAGGGGTTCGTTTGGTAGGTGGTACTGTCGACGGACTTCCCAAACACTGGTAGACTTTTGTCAGGACAAAGAGCGCGTCACTGATAGAAATGACCAATATGTCCTCATAAAATTATGTGATCCAGTTTAACGGTTCATACTTGTCGTATTAAGTCTAAGACTACTTATGCCTTCATGGGGGCGTTCAATTGGAATCAAGGGGGCGTTACTTAGAATAAAACGTAATATAGTATAACAACATTATAATTTAATTAACATATTTAAAATTATAATAAAATGACCAAATGTTTATAATTTTTTTTATTTAAAATAAAATGAATACTACATAAAATTCAATAATGATGGTGGGCTGATGGCTGGTGATTGGCAGCGGGGATAGGGAACGAGCAACGACGATCCAAGGTGGCAGGCGGAGGAAAGTGACGACATTGTTGGAGCCATATTAAAGCCGGGTTTAGGGTTTCTAAACCCTAGACAATGGGCATATACATGCGGCTTACAAGGTCGACAAGCCTAACATGGGCTAGCTCCAGTTTGATCTAGAGAAATTGTTGGAGGGGTCCATGGCAACTATGAATGAGTTATGGTCAATGAGTAAGGATCAACACAATCACATTTGAGAATTCAAATCCCTCATTAAAAGACACAATTAGTTGGTGATCTCTACAAGGTCCCTCTAGCCAGATTATGCTACGTACTTTTATGACTATATGCTAGTCACATAAAAATCTGATATGTTATCTATGTGGTCATAGAATTTCATTTGAGTATCACCATATTTAGTAAGGGGGTCCCTGTTGAATTCTAGATCACTTGGATGGAAGTTGTTGGAGCTATCATTCAGCCAAACATTAAAAAGCTCAAGTACTAGATGCAACAACTCAAGGATTGAGTTAATCAAGATAGGGATGATTGAAACCATATGTTATGCACATTGTTTAAAAAAATTATTCTGTGCGGCATCCGGATGCGTTTGGAGGAGAATTCGGACACGTCACATCACCAGGGGCCTAATGTATACGGTGACGTGGCACATCCGGATTCGGGGACCTAATAACCAAATGAACAAGCAGAACTGAAATATTTGCAATTAGGATGTCTGCAGGGCCCAACATTGGGTACCCATACTCACACCCATCCATGTGCCCACCCATACCCAATGAGGATGGGTGGGTATGGATACGTCCATGGCCTTGTGAGTGAATACTCAACATCGGGGGATAAATCAATTTATATTGCTAAGCACCGTATATCTTATATTAATGCAATCCTCACAATATAGTGTGCAACACTTAACCATGCTACGACTACAGTAAATTCTAATATGCGGCTTGAAAGTTTTTAATCAGAGCAAAGAGCAACAAGCCTCAAGGCTATCAATTTGTGGCAAATTGTGTTCAAAAAACATGGAAAGTGAGTACGTATATGTGGGTAGGGCATCCCAAAAGTCACCATGGGTGGGTGTGGGTGGGCGAAGCCCATCTGAGTAAAGCATGGGCGCCCAACCAGGACCCCATGTAGGGCTTTGGATGTCTGGTTAACTTTAGATCAGCCTTAGATGCAGCCATCTGCATGACAAAATACTGATCAGCAGAGAAAGCAAGAATCAAGAACAAATGAAATGTCATTCTAAAGGAAACATTTTTTTTCCAACTTCCATTTCATCAAACAAAACATGGATGTGTTCCCATTATATCCCATTAGATACAAAAGCATCATTCATTATGGCCAAAAGCTTCAGAACATCTTAATTCACACAAAAAGTGAGATTTTTCTTCCATAAAAAAGAAATATTTCCTTAAATATTTCCTTATCACCGAGCAATTCAGCAAGCTCTGAAAATATGAACCACCATTACCATTTTAGGACGAGTGACTGTAAGCTCAAAGACACAGACATCTCCTTCTCTGAAGTTATTATCTTTGACGAAAGTTTTCCATAATAGAATCCAAGATAAACCCAAACGGGTGTACTCAACTAACCACTCCTTTTTACGTAGGTTTTGGAGAATAATTATCTGCGGATTAAAGAGCTTGAAGTCCATCACAAAGTCCTCAGGAATTACCTGCACAGACAACAGCAAGGTATTAGCAACTTTAAATTGAACATCAACTCTGATATGATTAAGATTACGTTTGGGATGACTTTCTTAATGTTTGTTAAAACAATTTTCAATATAAAAATTAAAATATAAAAAGCTGCTTTAAAAAGCAATAAGAAAGCCATCCCAAACGAAGCCTAAATTATCCTTCAAATTTTTCATAATTTCTCCGTTCCAGTGTACTTCAAAGGGTAAAAAAGTGTGTACCCAATAATATGTAATGGCATTCAGAATGAACAATGGTGCTTATAACCTTTCATTTTTTTGTGTATTTATTTTATTATTAAATAGTTAGTCTGAAATTTAGGCTTCGTTTAGGACAATTTTTTTGTTGCTTCTTAAAGCAGCTTTTTAGTACATAAATTAAAATTTTTATGCTAAAAAGTTGCTTAAAGAAGCAACGAGAAAGTCGTCCCAAACGAAGCCTTTAGATGATGCTTCGAAAGTTGAAATGCTACCAAAATGGAAATCAAATAGCAAAGAAATTTCAAAATAGCAATACTTATTCTAATAACATTATAAAGTAGATGTTGGTGAACCAACAGCCCAATCTATGTATGGTATATCGTCATGATATCTATCTCTTAATAACTTGACTAGAATCTGTTCAGAAGAATTAAAAAGTTAAAATTCAATTCAACAACGTATGCGTTCCCTTGTCACCAACCAAAATAGAGGAAGAGCGTCAGCATCAATATCCACTGATGTCAGCATCAATATCCACTGATGAACACAGTAAAAACTCATAAAAAAGAAAAAGAACTGTAATTGATGGCTTCTAGGGTATAGGAGTTGAACAGAGCCCTGCATTGGGTGCCCATACTCACACCCACCCACCTATACCCAATGGGCATGGATGGGTATGGGTACGCCATGGCCTCGTGGGTAGGTATGGGTGGGTACTCAACATCAGAGGACAAACTGATTTACATTACTAATTACCCATATGCATGCAGTATATTACAGCAATGCTTACTACGCAGTGCGCAACACTTAACCGCGTCGCGACCACAATAAATTTTGATATGTGGCTTGAAAGTTTGCAGTTAGAGAAAATGGCAAAAAACCTCAAGGCCATTAATCCGTGGCAGACTGCATTCAAGAAGCGTGAAAAGTGGGTGGGTGTGGATGGGTGTAACATCCCGAAAGTCATCATAGATGGGCATGGGTGGGCAAAGCCCGTTAACGCAGAGCGTGTGTACCCAATGGGTACCCAACAAGGATCCCATGTAGGGCTCTAGAGTTGAACCTCAACTGGTGGCTATCTTACCAGAATAAACTTAGTTCTTATGCTGCTTGTCGTTAGAACTTCAAGAAAGCAAGGATTTCTTTTGGAGATTGACTTAGCCAAATTCAGAGCCCGGGCTTCAGCCTGTAAACTATTTTTCTTCATCTTCTTTTTCGACTTCTCTGCCATTAGAAATTAGCAAAATTTAGAAGCAGAGTTTCAGTTTTGGAAGACTCAAAACTTTGATCCGTAAAGTTACAGTATTACCACATCTGTAGTAACCTTCAACTGTATGAACAGTTTGGCTGATTTTAGAGAGAATGTGTTTCATGATAAAAATTATTAGATTCCATTTAGTTGACAGTGCTTAAGAATGAGTTTTAAAGCCAACAAATCCGTTTAAAACATAATGATTTCATTTTAAGGCACAAAACAAGCCAAAATGAGATCATATTTTTTCAAAACTTGTTTTCTATCAACCAAAAACCAAATGGGCTGTCGGAAAAAATTTTGTTACATTGATATATATTCAGATAATACACGTTATTCAATCATTCAACAATAAAAATCCAAGTTATCAATTGAAAATCATCGTTAAATGAATAAAAAAGGTAGACTTAAAGCATACCAGGCAAAATTTCTCTCTTGGAATGACTAGTCCCAGAACTATAAAAGCCACCAGAAAAAGTATCATCATCTGATGAAAATTGTTCACCATAAAAATCTCCTACTTTCGTTGTTGAACATTCATTAACTTCAGAACTCTTAGACATATACTTTTGCTTAGCTTGCAATAGTTTGGTAGATGCAGAAACCCTTCCCTTTTTAACAAAGTAGGAAGATGGGCTCTCACAACCATTTTTATCAAAAAATAGAATAGTAAAGCATGATTTCCCGCAATATTTGAAGACCAAATAGTCATCTTCCATCACATGATGATCTTTGACAAACTCCTTCCAACCATCTTCAAAATATAATCGATCTCCTTTCCTTGACAATTTGACCTCCCATTGGTTGCCACTAGGCCCCTTTAGATAAATCAGTTCAGCAAATTTAGCAATTTCTCTTGAACTCGCAAGTTGCAATGGGAATGCCTGCCAATGAAGATTGAGTTATATAAAGGTAATGCTACTCACCCAAAATAAACCTATATACATAAAATAAGATTTTTTGAACGTCGTGTTCATAATTTATGTTGCTCAATCAAACAATGGGCTACTAGCATATATCTTTTTAGGTGTTTAACAGGAAATCGACTGGTTATAATAGATGAACTCATACTTAGTGGGCCCACAAAGGAGCTCTTCTAAGGACCACAAGGCCCAACTTGATAGATCAGTTGAAGGGGAGTCTCCCCTCACAAGAAAAGTCAATGATTCTCATGGATTGCTCTATTCACAACTTGCCAAGCCCAAGGGGGGTCATTCGTCGCAATTCGTAACAAAGAGCGCCCACCATGCTCGTTGTCCAAGTTACAGGAAAGCACCAATCCAGAGAGTTATAACTCGCCCATCGCAATCAACCAACCACTGAACCCGTCATCCCCACAACCTAAACGTACTCGCCTCATATTCTTAGGTGATTCGGAGCTTCCATACAGGTTGTTAGTGATCTCGAGATGGCAAACATTATAAAACTCTCAAACTCTCAGTTTAATACTCTACAACATATTCGCCCTTAAACACTTGACACTAATGAACTTGCCTTGAGTCAAATAAATAAAGTCAAGAAAATTGATTTTCCCTCTAGTCAACTAGAGTGTAATAAGTGTCTAAGGCAGTATGTAACTAAGAGTTATTAAGCCTTATATTTTTTTTATTTATTTTACTTGATGTTATCATTCATGTCATGATTATTCAACAAGTTTTACGCTGGCTGTCGACTAACTAACGCAACCCTCCACTTTTTTCATCCAGGACTTGGGGCCTGATAATAACAGTATTATGGATGTTCTCACTAGACATTTGCAAGAGGATGTAACTTTTTTTTTATTTTATTTTTTTATTTTTTGTTTTTTTTTTTGTTTTTTTTTTTTTTTTGCAAGAGGATGTAACTTGGTTTATGCTTTTTGCTGATGATATTCTTATTGTTGATAAGACTAGAGAGGGAGTTGAAGGTAAACTCGAATTATGGAGGTCAACCTTAGAGTCTAACGGTTTTCGTTTGAGTAGATCTAAAACCAAATACATGGAGTGTAGTTTTAGTAGTAATAGATCTAGTGGGGGATTTGTGACTTTGAGCAATCAAGTCATTAATAAGTGTACTCGTTTTAGATATTTTGGATCTATTATTTATAGTAATGGTGAAATAAATGGGATATTATTAGTAGAATTCAAGTTGCATGGTTGAAGTGGAGGAATGCTTTAGGTTTGTTGTGTGATAGAAAAGCACCACTCAATCTTAAGGGAAAATTTTATGAGATGGTGGTGAGACCTACAATGCTTTATGGCGTAGAATATTGGCCATTAAAAGAAAAGCATAATATTAAGTTAAGTGTTGCTGAGATGAGGATGCTCAGGAGAATAAGTGGACTTACTCTTAGAGATAAGATATGAAACGAGCATATCCAGGAAAAGGGTTGGAGTAGTTCCAGTGACAGATAAGATTAGAGAGAGTCTCCTTAGATGGTTTTGTCATGTAAAACATCGGCCTTCTGATGACCCTGTTAGGAGAGTGGATGTATTAGATTTGATCTATGTTAAGAAAGGTAGAGGTAGACCTAAAAAGACTTGATTATAAATAATTAGAAATGTCATTTCATTAGTAGATTTAAATAAGAATTTGACTCTAAATAGGAGGAGAAAAATGATTCATGTAGCCGACCCCACGTAGTGGGATAAAGGCTTAATGTTGTTGTTGTAGTTGATGTAATCATTCTCATAGCCCTTGAATCTCTATAAATAAAGAGTGAGGAGGAACATTTTGGATCTTTTTCATCTTTGACATCTATTAGCACTTGTAATACAAATATTTGAGATAGTGTTGCATTTCCCATCAAATATTTGACATCTATTAGCACTCTCTCTCTCTCTCTCTCTCTCTCTCTCTCTCTCACCATCTCCATCCTCATTGGTTCTAGGTCCATACTCACAAAACTAGCCCACTAGTGAATAGAGCTGTCAAAATCGGGTCACAAGTCGGGTTTGGGTTGAACCCAGAATTGACTCGACACTATACGACCCGACCCGAACACGACATGATTTTGCAAACGGATTAATTTTTCAAACCCGAACCCGACCCGCTTCAAGTTCGGGTCAACCCGACCCGACCCATAAATCTGTCGGTGGAGGTTCCATTCACAAGCTTATTCAGGCAGCGACAAGCCGGCAAGATAGCGAGCTCCTCTCGTTGTCATCATTACTTCTAATCCTCTTGTCACGGTCTCGTGCTAAAGCCAAATGTAGGCTAGTTGCTACAATGACAGCGGCAGGACAGCAACGACAACGGCTCTCAGACGAACGATGGATGCGACAAACAAAGTAACGGATGCAACCCGGGTCAGACGAATGCAACAGAGACGGTTCCCAGGTCAACCCGGGTTATTTTGGGTTTCCTCTGACCCGATTTTACAAATGGGTTGAAATCTCTAACCCAAACCTGACCTAGTTCGGATTCGGGTTGACCCAAACCCGAAATTTCTGTGTAGGGTTCAGGTTGGTTTTCAGGTCGTGTCAAATATTGACACCCCTACTAGTGAGGTCTACTATCACGCACATACAAATTTGAATCCAACATATATGTATATGCATATACAGATGAATATGTTTATTAAGTAATTAATTTAATCGTGATAATAAATATTATTTAATTTAACTTTCACCATCTTAAGTGATATTATTTTTATTTTTTATTTAATTTGTTAAATATAATTTATAATTTTTTTAATTTAATAAACCATTAATTAATCATTAGTTGAGATGTTTACCTAAGAATGATTAAATTACTCTAATTAAATTTGGTATGGAATTTGTAAATATAATTAAATGTCCCAATCATATAACTTTTTATATCCTGAAACAAATAGTCAAACAATTCACCTGAATTTACCTAGATTAAATTTTTATCATAACAAAAAATTCTAAGTATTTAACCCATATATGATTTAGCAAACCCAAATTTACAAGATTTACTAGATCCGACTTAAATTAAATCCTACTTGTAGCGAAACATCGCCTCAAGATGTTGGATATATAAAGAGGATAATTTTAAATGTTATGCATGTAAATCCCTTTTCTAAAAAATTAAATTTCATATTCATCTGAAAAGCAAAATTAATCACATTGATAAAGTTTTAAATGCCGAATGAGATAACCTAAACATTAGATTCTTACTCAACAAAGAGCGAAATCAAGACGAAAACTTTCATCTACCATTTTCTCAGACAGTTCATCAGCCGTGAACTTTATTACGAACTGAAGGCTGTTCATCTCTAGGTGTTCCCACTTCCTTAGCCTCATTGCATTTCAGCGTCAATCTTGTGTAGTACAAACCCTACATGAAATCAATTAAACTTGAAGATGAATGCCAGTCATAAGATAAAAAGGCAAAGGTAACACATATAGGTTTCTGCGTCCTTTGGCCCGTTGAAACAGAAACAAAATAGTAAACAAAATCAAAAGAATTAAAAGAAATCGCTAACAGAAGAAAAAAAAAGGGCAAAATTGTTTTTAGGGTTCAAATAGCAAGAGATAGATGACATTTAGAGAATAACACAGAGAGTTCTTTCTTTACCAACTGGTTCTTCCATTTAGGGCTGGCAGTGAGGAGCGCTTCTTAGAACGGCTCTCAGCAGTCAGCACAGATTCCGAGCTCAATAGTTTTAACTTTGGAAAATTTATATACATACCACTTTATAAAATTCTATTTACATATCTAACACTCAAAACTTTAATATTACACATACCACCCTATACTATTTTAATGTCAAATATGTCACTCATATTTTTTTCCTACCACTCATATAATTCATTTATACCACTCATATTTGATATAAAAATGAATTATGGTTGGTATGTATGAAATATTAAATTTTTAAGTGTTAAATATGTAAATAAAATAGTATAGTGGTATGTATGTAAATGACCGTTAGCCATCCACGGCTGAGATTAAAAGATAATAAGTGTGCAGGTCTGCTTTGCAGAGAAGTGGAGAAATGCCTAAAGTAGGCGGCTGTAGCAGTGAGAGCTGAGTGGATTATAACATGTGCTTATCAATATTAATAAATATTAAAACTCTGATTTAAATATATTTGTCATAAAAATACACAAAATGATAAAGATACAGTCATGTCAAATAGATCCTAAATCTGTAATAAAAACATAATTTTTCGTAATTTTATAAAATTGTGATATGAACAACATTAGATACATTAATAAATATTTATTAATATGTAAGCCTCTTCAATTTCAATTTATATTTAATAATATATGATGTATGATTAGGATTGAAATGATCAAATTAGTAAAAAATGAAATGTTAGAATTTCAAGTGGGAAGAAATACAATCCAATTTTATGATAATCGGATAGATTAAACTATAATTATAGATAATTGTATTATTAGTTTGATAATATTATGTATTGCAGATATTAATAATGCTATTGAACATTTTCAGGATTAACATTAAATTGATTTTAGAAGAAATATCAGCATAAACAGACCCTTATAACTTAGGTTTAAATCATTTTTGACGTGTCACTAAAAAATTCATTTGATTAAGTGTGAATCTCATATTTATATTTAAACTGAAAAATTTTTAAAAATAAAATTTAGAATCATATGAACTACAATTTCATCAAACTTATAATATATTTAAACATCTCGGCAAAATGATACTAATGATACAAAAATTGACCATCCAAATCAAAATGAACCATAATCAATCAACCGAAGCATATTTAAGAATTTTGGGATATTAATTAAAAGATTAAATGGTATCTAAATATTACATGCTTATAATCAAAAATAGCGGCTTGATGATATGAATTAAACAAGTTTAAAATCATTCAATTATGAGGCATTAATGGTCTTAGATAATGAATAAATGATTTTTTATTAAAAGATTCAATAGGAATTGCCTAATAAAGACCATATGCCAATCCTAAAATATCATAAAAATACCTCTACTCTCTACATGAAAAGGATCGGCAACTTGAAGCTTAGAGCTAGACTTACATTGGACAGAACTTGAAAATTTGAAAAACTTTAGAACTCCATTATTAAAGTTAAACAATTTAATATTATTATGTAAAAAGATATAATAAAACCTTATCTAAACACCATTGACATTTACTAATCATATGATTATATCTTAAAATATATCATATATTGTTATCATTCCTTCAAAGCCTAGCAGTTTAAAATAGTATGTTATCTAACTATAGATTTTTATGTTTAGTTTCTGTTTCTGTTAACATGTAAATCGTCAAGAGATTTTCTGTTTACTTCCTGTTTAAGTTTGAAATATACATTGGCTTCCGTTAACAATTGATGGAAGAACAGTAGCTTGAGTTCCATGACTGAACTGCTGCTTGAAATAAATTAGCTTCAGTCATTCTCATATGTGTAACTACAGCTGCAGATATCAGCCGCATATCCCGGCTGCAGTTGTATTAGTATTAGGTGTTTGTTAGGCCGGCCCAGGAGGGGCCGGCTGAACCGGTCCAACCTTGACCGGTTCTCTGCAACAGCAGGCGGTCCAAGCCAGGTGGGGGCGGATGCCCTTGTGGGCCCAATTGCTTAATGTAATCAATGTTTATGAGGGAAAGTTTGAATTCATGGTTGTTTAGTCTTTTTGTAAGAGATTAGTCTTTTTTATTAGGATTTGCTTTTCATCTTGAATTTGGAAGAGATTTGAGATCTAGGATTTGTTCATTTTTAGCTCTAGGTTTTGCTAGAGATTTGGAGAGTTATTTCTTCCTCTCGAATCGAAGAAACTTGTATGATTAAATAGAATAAGTTTTCATCGTGTTCTCTCCAATCTTCTGAAATTCCTGCATCGTTTTGCTGATTTATCTCTGAAATCAGCCTATTTCTCACTGTTTTCACCAATTATTGATAGGTTTGCTTGTGAACTCATGTATTCCTCCTTAGGGTTACTTGCAAACTCAAGTACTTCCTATCAGTGTTATTGCAACAGTTGCAGTTATATTAGCATTACACAAATAATCAATTAATTGGCAGCAGTTGAATTAGCATAGCATGATAGCGTTTAGACTGATCAGCAATTAACATTATAGGAAACACACAGTTCACCTTGATTAGTTAACTGTGGGCTTTGGCTACTAACAAAAAAGCATTGAGTTCGAAACTTGCATATTTGATGTGCGTGTGGGTTTGACTTAATAAATCAAATGTCCATATATATATATATATAGAGAGAGAGAGAGAGAGAGAGAGAAGGAGAGAGGAAAATGCAACAACTGCAATTCAATTAGCTGCAATTTCATCGTGTGATGTGAATTTTTTAGAGGTCGCGCATTTCTCTTTGGTCTGTTAGTTTGGAGCTTTGACTATCAATTAAGAGGTCTCGACTTTAAGTCTTGCGTATTTGATTTATGTGTGAGTTTGACTTAATTAACCTAAATGTCAAAAAAAAAATTATAGAGGTAATGCTGTAATTGGAGTTCAATGTACAGTAACTGCATTTCAATGCATAGCAGCAACTGTATCAACTATATACCAGCAATTGCATTGGAGATCAATGCATTTTTATGAATACTATTAAACTTCAATGTACATCAGCAACTGCATCAATTAGTTCTGTTATCATAGCAGGACTCAATTTGGTTGCCGCACAACAATTAGAACAATAGAATACATACAACAACAAATATCTAAACATTACAAAGAGCCATCTCATAAACTTCACCCATAATACACGAACTTCATTAATAATATGTTTGTACTAATAACAACTTGAAATAAAGATCATTCAATACCCAACAAGCTAAAGAAAAAAAAAATTCAGAACTTTCATTTGAAAGCAATAGAATGGAGCCTTTTAATACCCATCTCGTAGATGCTTATAACTAAATAGCATATATTGCATGTTTAGGTTCATCCAACCATTTAAAATAAAGTTTTCTTCCACTACTTTGTCTTCTGTAACAAGTGAATAACATGCTTTTAAGTTAAATCTACACTAAGGCTTCATTTGGGAAGGCTTTTTTGTTGCTTCTTAAAGCAGATTTCTAGTACAAAAAATTTAATTATTGAACTAGAAAGCTGCTTTAAGAAGCAGCAAGAAAGCCGTCCCAACAAAGCCTAAATTTGACAAGCTTGATGACTGCCCCTTGTTGCTGAGTAATAAATTGAGCTCATTTATGGCAGGATAGTACCTGTTGATGAAATAATGAAATTGACTTAATTGAACAACATGATTGGTGGTGTTTTTATGTCATAAAGTTGAACGAAGCACAACTACTACAAAAAAAGGAATAGTTAAATATGTTTTCACAAGTGATTAGCATCTAATCCATATCAATATTGTTAACATATTGAAAAGTAATAATACTTCATAAACAATCACTTTACTGGGGGCAATAACTCGAATAAGCCCTTCTTTTAATTGAAGAATGAAGAGACAAAACAATATAGTAGGGATAACTATAGTGTGAAACTGAGAAATGTTAAAGGGAATATCATGTGATTTAGGTTCAATTAATGGAGTGCTAGTGAACTATAATGGCTATATGAGGGTTGATGGTTTTCTTTTTAGTTTATCAGTTGCTTGTGGCATTCTTTTTCTTTCAGCCAATGGGATGTATGCTACCATAGTGAGATATAAAGAATGCATAGAAAAAAAGTGTTACGCCGGCCTAGGAGTGGCCAATTGCTTTGCTTGAACCGGTCCCTACTGGACCAGTTTGGGTTTACCACCGCCGGCCCAAGCAAGGAGAGAGAGGGGGAGTCGGACACTCCTTTAGGCCCCACATCTTGAGTAATGCTTGTTGGATGAAAAATTTTGAATTAGGGGTTGTTTAGGAAATTTGTAATTCTCCTTTGTCTTTAATTAAGGGTTAATGTTAGAATTAGGTTTTCATCTGGAATTTGAAAAGGATTTGAGATCTAGGGTTTGTATTCTTGGCCTCTAGGCTTGACAAGAGAATCGGAGAGTGGTTTCTTCCTCTCGAGTTGAAGAAACATGTATCTTTGCTGTTTTTCCTGCTTCTACTAGTGGAATCCTTCGTTTTCTCTCAGTTTTCTATTGTTTTTCCCAAGAAATCTGCTGCGAAGTGCTGATTTTCTGTTGTAAACAGCAGTTTGCATTCTGTTTTCTCACTAATTTCGATTAGGTTTACTTCGAACTCAAGTATTACCTTAGGGTTACTTGCGAACTCAAGTACTTCCTATCAAAAAACTTGTTTAAATGTAGTGATTGGTCTTAATAGGAGTTACAAGCATGGTTTTGAAAGTGCCCTAAATTTCAAATTGCAAAACTGTCTTTTGAACTGCCCTAAATCTCAAAATGCAGTAAAAGAATAGGAGGGAGAGGGAGAGGAAGGATGTCTAGCAAGGGAGAGGGCTTTGTGGGTCTCTAAAAGGCTGTTGCGAACGGGATCATAATGCAAAAGGTGGGATCACGATATCTTGTAGGATAAAATGATCGTAAGCTTTTACACTCTACGCAAGCAAACCAATGGAGAACATATGCGATCATAGATACAATTAACTATGGAGAATAATGGCTTTCACCTACACACATCGATGGGTAATAATATATATGACCCGATAATCACGAGATTTCCCCATTCGATATATCAGCTCGAATGAGGTAAATTTGATGTGGGTGTCGGTTTCCCACAAACACAAGCCCCCGTGATTAATTATATCTTAGGCATTGACCTAAAAATACTCTTGATTAAGGACGCTATATTTTTCTCATTGGAGTTTAGCATAAGTGAATATCTAGGTTGTTCTAATCCAAAGGAAGATTGGCTCAATCAGGCTATTCAACATGCACAAATTTACAACATACCAAGCATGTGTGAGAGAAAGAGGGAAGAGACATCATTAGTGTGACGCGGATGTGTGGGATTTATAGCCTCCGAGAGTGAGAAACCTATCCAACGGTATACCCATATCACCAGCATTTGACCATAAATCTATAAAAAATATACTGTACACTTGGTACTAATGCCAATGGCCTAACTAATGCAAGATACCATGAGGGGACTTATGACTTAAACCCCAATAGGGATCTAAGGAGCCCCGACCTAGATTTACTACCTTGCTCGGAAAGGAGTAACTAAACTCCACATAGCGTCTTAAATTCATGATGTCCGATCATATGAAAATGCAAGAGTGGTGGGAGGCATAGAAAGGGAAATGAGCATCAAGCCGGACCATAAATGATAATATGCTATGCAAAATGAACAATTACTCTATGTTATAAAAGAAAAGTCTACATGCTTTGACTCAAGGCTATGCATGCATGGGTAGGGCCAATCAGAACTAGTCAATAGTCATTGTGAAGTGAACAATGCTTGAAATAACAAGTGAGTTTTAAAAAGTGACCCATAAGGGATCATGCATTAATTTTTTGAAAAGTTGGTTGATTTTAAATCCTAGATTCATTTTTATCTAGTTTAAACAAATTTTAATTTTATAGAAAATTTAATATCCTAAAGAGCCTAACGTTGACTTCGTCTGAGCCACACCAAGCAAAATAAAGTAAAAAATCTATGAAAAATATGCAATTCTAATACACAATTAAAGTAAACACACTAATCATCACACAACAAATAATATGTAATGAAAATGAACGCAGCTGGGTTCTCCAGTACATATAAGGAAAATAAAAAGGTACCTTAGCTCTACCATATATATAACTCAACTTAGATCTGTACATCACTTAATGGTGTGTGGGGTCTTAATTGCTCCTCACACATTTGGCCTCCTCCCTTCTGAGAGGGCTCTTCAAATGAGAGCCTTAGGTCCAAGGGTTTTCGCCTCTAGGATTCTTCGGATCAAGAGAGAGAGAGTTTGGGGGATTCGAATGCCGAGGTTAGGGTGATTCTAATGCCGAGGCCAGAGCATGGGACGAGTCTTTTGTCTAGGGCATTCGATCCAGAGAGGTAATGAAAGCTGAGCATCCGATGAAAGCCAGAGCGTATCCCCTTGAAGAAGGCCTCGTTAACGCCTTCTCAAACCACCCGCCCTTACTTTGATTACCTGATATGCGAAAGAACGAAAGTCCTCCATATCCGCTCCTGCTAAAGCCATCCAAACTTGCTTCAAAACAAGGAATCACGCGACTTAGCTCAAGGACGATGGCAGGTTTGGGAATTTGATCAATTAGAGCTCTTGGATCACATTTCTTGATCTATAGAATGTTTTGAATTGATGCGGATTAAATGGGCTGGTTGGGCTGAAATCAAGCTCGAATCGAGCCAAATTTGAGTCGATTCACATCAATTTATGTTCAATTCAATTCGATTGCAATAATTTGATGAAATTAAACCGAAATCGACATCGACTGAACTCCAATTAGGCTCGACGAGGGCCAATTAACTCGGTCGAACATACTCGAGGGCATTCACGCAAAAACGAGGTCAACAGGCTTCACATTACCTAATATAAAAAATGTCCAATGCCCAGTGATAGGGGCGTCAAAGTCAGGGATTTGAAAGTGACAAGGGAGGAGATGGCTTTGCGTATGAGAAGAATGCTCGAGGGTTTTCACGCTCAAGGCTTTGCTGCTATTAACGGAGGATCCAGGGGTAAATAGAGCCAAGGGCATTTCTTCCTAAAAGAAATTTCGAAATGCGCCGGTTAACTAGTATCAACAAACAAATTGCACTCTTGCATTTGTTTTCAGAAGTATTTGCATTTTTTTTTTTATTGTTACTTATTGGATAACATCATTATGAACACTAAATCAAACACATTTTATTACAATATAACATAACATTACATACAAAAACACTAGACCAAACAGGCTCTTAAATAGCCTACATTCACAAGCTCTATTGCTCCGCTCACAACATCTTCGAAATTTTTGACAATCATGTAACACTCCTATGATGATGGATTACAAGCACTTAATTGATAAGCAAGCATACAGAAACTCAAAAAACAAATGCTGCTTGAATTGGTGATTCAGAGTTCAAAGACAATATAGAAAACCTGTTAATGTTATCCTAAGCTTCCCATCCACGCAAGGCGGCGGCCCGGGCAACGCGATTCACTCCCAAAGTGAAAGCTCCCATCCTAAGATTGCAATCATGAGATCTACACATGTCCTTGATGTTCTTGAATGCAGTCCTCATATATCTTTTGAGCTCCAGATTCACCTTCTCTTCATCCCACAAGAATCCTTGAATATTCTTCAATAATTGAAGAACGAGAAATATCGTCGGATTTCAATTTTATATATTATTTAACTGCATAAATATCATATAAAGTTTCAGTTTCATTACCTGAACCCACTCGAAGTAGCTCACGGTCACACCACCTGCATTAGCATAGATATCTGGCAATACGAGCACTCCTTTCTCTGAGAATATCTACAAAAGAATTTTGAAGCAATAAGATACAAAATTCCATCAATTTGCTGACTGAAGTGAGTAATTTTGAAATTTTAATGCATAATTTACCTTATCTGCTTCAGGGTCAGTAGGATGATTAGCGGCTTCAATTATGTATTTGGCTTTTACAGCAGCAGCATTTTCCCTTTCAAATAGTAAATTGACTCAGAAAAAAAAAAACAAATCTTCTAAGAGCATAATAAACGTGGAGTGAGAATCTATAGATTAAATAATCTAAAGAAAAGGCTAGAAAAAAAAAAGTAGTTATATGTGTGGAACCTGTTGAGGACTCCACCCAGGGCACAAGGAATGAGAACATCACATTCATGTATAAGTAACTCATTGGGATCCATGACATTTCCACCATTGAAATCCTTTAAATTACCACCAGAAGCTATGTGCTTCTGTAATTCTTCGATATTTATGCCGTTTGGATTTTCTATTGCTCCAGACACATCACATATGGCAATGACCTTTCCACCACACTCATGAATGAGTTTTGCAGCCCATGAGCCTACGTTACCAAACCCCTGAAGTACAAAGAATGGAGAAAGTAGATATTTTCAATGTTTTAGCATATGTTACTAGAAAGCAAATGTGTTTATTTGACACCATTTGAAAGGAGATGCACAATAAGATATTTATATTGCAGATGATGCATAAGGAGAGTAGAAGTTTGATGCCATTGAATTAGATAACACTAATAAAGAACATGAAGGTGCTTTGATGCCATTGAATTAGATAACCTACTTTCGTGAGTTTTTTTTTTTTTTCCACATGCTTTTCTTTGCTATAATTTTCTTTCTTTGCTCCTCTTAGTATTCAATCATTAAAAAATCCCAAATCTCATTTGAACCCTCTTAATACAAGTTATCTATAATTAGTGTAGGCTAAGTGCTCTGGAATTCATGGACTAGTTTCACCCTTGAAAGCATTTGACAAACCTAAACTTTTCAAACCCCACTAAAATCTTCAGATCACTAATACACATTCTATACTTCAATAACCCTAAGTTTATTAAATTTAGGGTTATTTTAGTCAAAAGTCTGAAGATCCACTCAACCCTAGTTGTATTTCATATTTGCTGTTTTAATTTTGTAGCCTATATCCAGTCAACAAAAAAATATCAAAACTCCATAAAAAAATTAAAAACTTCCGGATTCCATCTAGATGATGTACATGAGTCATTCCAAGTGGAAGTTCTGAATTTCACTTGATCTAATGAAATCCACATCAAAATTTTCAACCTTTGTCAAATTTGGACATAATTGACCTATACTAATTTTAGAGCATAATTAACACCACAAATCTTTTTCTATCCTTAACAAGCTCTCCAAAATTAAAGTTGACATCCTCACCAACAAATCAAGTACAAGTTTTCTTGATTTGATATCTATAGAGGAGACTCATTAGGAAGAAGATTGAGTTATGTTCTTGACAGATTGCAGGAAGTGTTAGCCTACCAGCCAAACACCATACACTTTATCCCCTACTTTAGTTAACTCCACTAATTAAGCCTAACTCTTCAAATAACCTTAGAAGAGTCCGCATCCACCAATTGTTATATCAGTGATCTAAGCCCCACCATCCAACCCTAATCACTAAGACTGATCTGAAAGCCTGCAGGCAATGGGGACAACCACGGCCGATCAGCTGGTGCGCTTTGACCCATATCAAGCTCTGATGTAGAGCAAGTTATTAGCTTCCTCTGAAATCATTGTGTATCATTTCATTGCAATAATTCTAGAAACTTTTTATCTTCTTTAAAATACTATGCCCATCATTTTTAACCTTGTCTTGATCATCTGTTTCAAAATGCTCCTCTGATGCTAAAGAATAGTTGCATGACATTCTTCACAAATATTTATGCTTGTTTTGCTAAATCTAAATGAGTAGGTCATGAAACTCCTTTGAATTCATCGATCTGCAACACAACTTTGAAGCCAAAACCACCATTGAGATCACGAATTCATTACTTATGCCATAGTATTTTCAAATTGTATGTAATTGTGCATAAACAATAAATATTATGTTAAATGAATCATATAGGGCTCTTAAAATTGGGTCACAAGTCGTATTTGGGTCCAGCCTGGATTTGACCAAACACAAGTTGACCTAACTCGAACCAGGCCAGTTTTCGTAAATGGGTCAGGTATTTTAACATGTACCCGACCCACTCGGGTTATCAGATTGACCAGACTCGACCGCGGATCCATTTTGAGCAGTTGAGGCGTTGAGCCATGAGAGTGGACAGACGACAAGCGCCTTCCTGCAGTTGCCGTAGTTACTTCCAATCCAAATGCAGAACAGACGGCGAGCTCCCTCCTATCGTTGTCTTTGTTTCCGATCCAACTACGAAATCAAAACGAGGAGCTCCCTGTTGTCGGCTCGTCGGCGTCATTGCTTCTGATCCTTTCATAATTAATGTAATAAAAATATATAACAAAGTTTAATCAATATTAAAGAATTTTCCCTCCCATACCCCTTTCTAAGCGTTAAGGAATCTAGCACATCCTATCAAGAGGATTCATCAAATAAGCTTTAAAATTTTGGACAAAAAAAACATTTATGATTTAATTGATTTTACATTATCATAAAAAGTAAAATAGATTGATAAGCTTATAAGCATTACTCAATTTATCAATTATAATGAAATACAAAATTTTGTTTTAAATTATTTTTTTTTTATTTTTATTTTTTGAAATCTTAATATATTTTGATGATAAATCTGATCATTATGAAAAAGATAAACTCGTTCCACCCCTAAGACCCTAATAACTTTATTTTCTGTACTCCATAACCATCTTGGCAACATAATGGTTTAATTTTGTTGCTGGAAATTCTCGTTCGAATTTAAAAACTTATAGCTGGGCTTGGGTCATGGGCAAAAAGCCCGCCCAGTCTTGGTGGACCGGTTCTTCAGTTGACCATTTGAAAGCTGTCAATGCGCCCCGTCGACGATGTCGCGGCGACCTTAGCCAAAACTTTGGCCCACGTACCAATGTCTGACTTTTGCGAATTTGATAAAAGGGATAAGCGTCGTTGATTCTCCGCATCACGGCTTCTAGAATAACTTATTTTATCATCAGAAAAAAAAATTGAAATATTTTATTAGACTATAATAATATTTTGTTTTTCAAATCTAAAAAATCTTGAAATAATTATTGCATTCATATTTTAATGCCATTTAAAAATTACTGTAGATAAAAAAGAAATGCAAACGGATAAACAGAGCTCGTGCTTGCATGACGTAGCCTTCATCCTCATCCTTCAGACTCAGCTCAAACGCAGCCTCGACTTCCTCCTAAGGCTACGTCATGCAAACAAGACTTCTGTTTATTATAGAATGAATTGGGTCTAATAGTTATGGTAAGAATTTATGATACTTAATAGTGATAACATGTCCTTGTTGTGTGCTAGAAGATTCATGATGGTAGAGAAAAAATGTTTATCATCTTAGTTTAGTATAAGGATTTAATACACGCACACATAGTTTTAGGTGAAAATTCCAAAAAGGGAAAAAACTATGTAATCCAATTATATTGAAATGATTCCACTAATATATATTATAAGCCACAAATGATACCCATTCCTATAAATAGGTGAGATATTGATATAGGGCAACAAATATAAGCTATATAGAATGAATTTTATGGTGAAAGTTGTAAGAGCTGTGTAGCATTATAGTTGTTTTCAAGAGATTATTTGTTATATGTTCAATTATTCTCATTTGAGGAGAAGAGACCAAATACTAAGAAGATTATTATAAATCTTGAAGTTGATGTCATGAGTCAAAGTTATGTTGATGACAGGCATTGGCCTTATAGGCAATGATGTGCATCGATCTAGTATCAATGTTGGTGGCCATTATGAGTGGTGAAGTCTGTAGGCATCAATCTTTATGTCAATAATGTGCATTCTTGTTATATGCAATGTCATGCATTGACATTGTTTGCAACAACATGAAACAGTCACTATAGTTGGGCGATAGTATCGGAAAATTTTTGTCGAATGATGGTCGTCGAAAGACTGTAGAAGGGTGGTTAGGAGTTGTACCTGAGCAATAATGGTTGGGAAGTTGTACACATGCAATGAAGGTTGGGAGACCATAGCTAAGCTACAGTGATCAAGAGATCATAGTTGGTTGAAGATGGTTAAAAGATCATAATCAGCTAATGGTGGTCGAAAGACTATTGTTAGAAGATAGTGACAACATGACTAAATTCAAACTATGGTCAAATAATGGTGAAAATGATTGGGGTCATAGCTTGGAGACGATGATTATAAAGGTGATGATGGTCAGAAGATCATAATCGGGCAATGCTAGTAAGGAAAATTATAGTCGAATGATGATAGTCGAAGGACCATAGTTTGTGGCTGGAGGGCAGATGTTTAAAGGCAGTGTTAGAGGGTGGAGGTTTGATGGTGGTGGTTAAGTGGAGGTGATCAAATAATAGTGGTTAGATTATAGTAATCGGATTATGGTCGTCCAACGACAATAATCAAATGATGATGAGCTGATAGTGGTAATTCGTTGTTGGTAGTCCATTGACATTATGTGGTTTGACAATGGTGACAAGGAGTCAATTGTCGGATGATTGTGGTCCATTTGTGTTATTTTGTTGCTGCTTTGATAATGTGATAGTGAGTGCAACCATAAATATTTGGTCTTCTTAATTGTTAAAAGAGATAAGCTGTGTTGATTCTTTGCATGACGATTGATGTTTTCATAAAGGTCAATGTTAATAAACAGAAAATGTGGATACAATAAATATAATATTTTGTGAAATTCAACAAAAAAATAATAATCTATTGTAATATTAAGAAAACAGTACTTATTGTACACATAATTTAATATATTTTTAAAATCATTTATATATGATATTATAATTATTATATATTGAAGACTAGGAAGGCAAAATTGATGATGATGTTGAAGGCATGCATTTGAGATGGTGGTCACAATGGTGCCATGGAGGGCATTTGAGATGGTGGTCACAATGGGCATTTAGGATGGTGCCCATTGTAAGCATTAAAAAAATGTCAATGGGTGGATGTTGATTTTTTTTATAATGACGAGCGTCAAATTTATTGACAATTGTGGACATCGATCTTGGTGGAGATGATGGAAGTCAACTTAATGGCAATGGTAGGCATCAACATTAGCGACAAAAGCAGACATTGACCTTTTTAGCGATGATGCTTATTGACCTTATTGGTGGTAATAGATGTCGATCATTTTGGCAATAGCGAAGTTAAGTCTCAACCTTATGAGCAATATTGGGCTTCAAATTTTTTGGCGATAACAATCATCAACATTTTTTTTTTTTTTGGAGTTGGCATCATCTTCTTTAAATGATGGGCTTTAGCATTTTTTATGAGAAAAACTCTTAACTCTCTAAGGCTACATTTGTGATAGCTTTCTTACTGCTTTCTAGAATAGCTTTTTGATACAAAAATATCTTGAATTAGAAATTATTACACTAAAAGTTACTTTAGAAAATAATAAGAAGGCTATCTCAAGAAAAACTTAAGTCTCATAATCCCATTAATCTAAAATACTCTTTTATGTTTCCTTTCAACCCTTCTTAATATGAAGAAGTACATAGTGCTTATAAATTTTTAGAATTTTAATTCCAATCATTTATATTAGAAAATAGGACAACCCATTAGATCACAATATTATGTTATATTTTCTAATGCCTTTATGATATTATAATTGAAGAGTATTTAGCTTTTCAAATTCATCTTTCTGAGATGTTTATTTTCTGTCTATAAGAAATAATATTTAGAAGAAGTATGCTCCTTAACTAATCTTGAGAAAATTTAAATTATACTTATAAATTCTTAATTTAAATACATTAGTCAGACTCGAATAAAGAATTTCTTAATAACATTGAGTTTGCCTAATTAAATTATTCATTTTATGATCTCTAAGTTAACACTTAGTTTTCCACCCAAATATGGGCTGCTATAAGATCTAAAATTTATATTTAGTCCTTCCATGAATTGGGATGGCCCATATCACAACCGTCAATTTAAAACGAATTGGATGCTTTCGATCATCAAGCGGCCCAATGGGCTAGATTGAGTCATGGTTAGCTTTTGGATGCAGGGGATGCAGTGGCCACTATTTTTGAAGTTTTCAATTACAGAGTTCGTTTTCACAGCTCTTGATATCATAATCCAAAGATTGAGATTGACAAAATAGTTTGATGATCCAATAACATATAATACATTTGATAAGTTATTTGCAATGATAAGCGGTGATTTTGATATTCAAATATTTTTTTGGGGGCAAATCTCTTTAGATGAGGTCGAACTCATAGTTTTTATCACAGTTCATTTGATTCAATGTTTCAATGTACTCTAATTTATGCATTTTTAGTATTGTTAAAATTATTAAGGTTTCGTTTGAGATAAATTTTTTTTATTATTTTTTGAAATAATTTTTCATTAAAAATAAAAATTAAAAAAAAAATGATAAAAGGCTGTTCAAATTGAAGCCTTGTTTCAATTTCAAAATGAAAATCATAATTCATTTAATTCTCCAATTCATTTCGCTAAAATTTAGGCTGAGTTTTTGGTAGTATAAGAAATTTATAATTGTATTAAAATTTATGTTAGCTTCTACATGAATTTCGCAATTCATATCATTAAATTTTTAGTATATGTACGGATGATATAGATTGTAAATTTTTTAAAGAATCCAAGATAATTTTTAACGCTAATACATTGAGAGTTTAAAATGAACCAAAATTTAAAAAGGTCGGGTTTATGCATAAGAGATTATTATATGCAGTGTCCGGACACTTTCAAAGGTCAATTCAGACACGGCACGTCACTCATTGCATTGTATACTAAGTAACATGGCAAGTCCGGATTGGCCTCCGAATGAGTCCTAACACCGTACGTAATAATATTTCTTGATTGCAGAGTTTAAAAGTTGTGGGCGATTGGATCAACTCTTGTTGGCCACTAATCACTCAACTTATATGTGTAGATAAGATTGTAAATGTTCTAATTTTTTGTTGATTTACTTCTGAAACAAGGTTGAGTTAAATTCAATTTTTTTTCAAAAAAAAATTGATATTGATATTTTTTTCCACAAAATTGATATTGATATTTTTTTTTTCAAAAAAATGATATTGATATTTTTTCTCAAAAAAATTGATATTGATATTTTTTTTATCTGTTTTGATAAATTTTGATTCTAACATACATATGATGAATCAGTATCCGATAAAACTTTCTACCACTGCATAATCTCTTCTTTTTTTTTTTGGACATTTAGGCCATTTGAGCCAAATTCATATACACAACGCATACATATAGACTCGAACCCTGAACCTCTTAGGTGGAAGCCTAAGCTCTCAACCAATAGGCCAAGGAGAGTTGTGTCACTGCACAATCTTCACTAGCCAGCATGGGCGGAACTATTAAGAGCTTAGGGGGGGCAATTGTCCCCCCTCAAAAAAAAAAATTTTTTTTTTATAGCTAGGCTGTGACAGATATGAACCTGGCTATGGAGGCATAAAGGCGGGGACTGGAGTGGAAGAGGAGGGAAGAGAGCGATAGGAGTCCTATCGCTCTATTAGGAGGCAAACACAGTGGAGAGGAGAGATGCCATCAGCATTATGCATTGTCAAGGTTCGTTTATGAAGATTTAACGATTCCCGAATTGATGCTAGGGTTATGAGGAGCGAATGGGAGTAGGTGCCAGATTCTGTTGCATTTTATTGGGTCTTTAACTGAGGAAAGTCTTCCGGTGATTATAGGTATTAAACCCTTTCGACTATCAACTGTTATACTTGTATGAAAATGCCGCCATAGCCTGTACTTATTTTATGACGTCGATTTAGGCAATTTTTTTAAATTTTTTTTTGCAAGAATTACAACCTTAGACCTCCATTTTACAACTCAGATCAAATGTCTCTCAAACAAGTTGATGGTCGATTTAGGCTTATTTTTTAACAAGGAATTTGTTTACCCAAAATCATGGTCATTCTGTTTTTGGGTGTGCCTTTTTATTAACGGATGCCTCCTATTTATAGAGAAATTATTAGGTGCGGATACCAGACGGACAGAACTGTCCGATTTTCTCTTTGTCTATAATAAAAGCGCAGTCAAAGTGAATGTATTATAGGAGATGTGCTTTGATTACTCTTTTAATGTAGAAGAGAGAAAACCGGACTGTTTTTTTCGTCCGGTGTCCACACCTAGTAATTTACCCTTGTTTGTATGCCTTTCTAGACAGGAAAAATTATTATGTGCGGAAGCCGAACCCCGTCCGGATGCCTAAGCCTGCAGCTCGGTACTGCTCGGTACCAAGTGTCGGTACTGCTCGGTACCGAGTGTCGGTACTGCGGCTCGGTATTGTTGACATGACTCATTATGATTGGTATCCAGATGTAGTGCTGCGTTCGACGTCCGTACAGAATAATCTCTCTCTAGGCAGGCTCAAGATTCAAGTGATTGAATTGCCTAAGGTATTATTTATTCATCCAGCATCTTATTCGCGCATCTGGTTGCTGTATAATGTTAGATGAAGGGCTTTTATGTTGAAAGTTTAGAGTTTGAGCTAGCTTAGTTCTCACCCTTTGTGCTCTTTGACCTTACCATTTCTTAGCCGACATGTCATTCGGTTTGTATTTGAATGCTAGGAATTTGAATAAAAGCAACTGTTGAAAACGCTTAAAACTCTAAATTAATGGATTAGGGTGAATAAACAAACCCCATAAATTATTTGGATTTCATTAATTTCCTTCATTTCCCTTCAATCCAAACAAAGCTCCAGCTTACTGTCATGTAACTTAGAAGAGATTCTAAACTTTAACAAGTACTGTAACTGAAGGGTGGTGTAATGTGACTTTTTTTGTTTGTTTCTTTTAGCTGATTTAATCTTAGAAATGTTTATATTTTGGCAGGATATTTTATTCTTCTGGCTTTGTTGTTGTTTGCTGCTCTATGAGAAAGTGTCCTACATGCTCGGATTGTACTTTATTGATTTTTTCGTAAGAGACAGAGGATGTAGAAACAATATTGATTAGACTTTCAAATGCGGATGACTGATGCACAATTAAACTCTTATTAGAAGAATCATGCCATTATTTAAAGCTTCCACTATTAAATTCTTCTTTTTTTTTTTAATTTTTTTTATAACTTTATAAACATCTTTAGAGAGAACATTTCAAAAGGAAATCCTTTGTCTCTTTGAAGAATTGATAATTAAAAATTCCATATAAATTCAGGCATGGTTGCCTTGTCCTAGCATCAACTGCATTAAAAATTATGTTCTTTAGAAGATTCTTGTAGGAAGAAATTTCTAACACCTAACATCACTAAATTGGTCCCAAGTCTAAGCCACCATACAACAACAACATCAAGCCTTTATTATCCCACTATATAGGGTCGGCTACATGAATAATTTTTCTCCATTGTGTCCTATTAAGCATTAAATTCTCATTTAAATCTAATAAAGAAATGTCATTTTTAATATTTTCTAACCAAGTCTATTTAGGTCTACCTCTACCTTTCTTAATATAAGTCAAATCTAATACACCTATTTTCCTAACCGGGTCTTCGGAAGGCCGCTGTTTTACGTGACCAAACCATCTAAGATGACTCTCTCTAATCTTATCTTCCATTGAAGCTACTCCAACCTTTTCACGTATATTCTCATTTTGTATCTTAATTTTAAGAGTAAAGCTACTCATCCACCTGAGCATTCTCATCTCTGCAACACTTAACTTAATATTATGCTTCTCTTTGAATGATCTAACATTCTGCACCATAAATCATTGCAGGTCTAAAAATCATTTTATAGAATTTTCCTTTAAGCCGCCATACAGTTTTAAAATTTTTCTCACGGCTAAGTTTAAAGAAAAAGCCTAAGAGATTCTAACTGGATATTTTGACGAATGTTGGATGATAACCTATTTTGTAAAAGCAATTTGAAGAAGGCATATCCATGCCCTGTTAGATACGGGCAAAGAGGGAATCAAAGCTTAAAAAAAAAAATCTTGCTTTCATTCAGAATGAGAATAGTTAATCACTTAATCCTTAAAAAATAGGCAGCTCTTGAAGGTTATCTTCCCATGGGATTTGGATTGAGATGCTGCAAGGACTAAAAAGAGTTGCATCCTTGCTTGGTTGTAAAGTAACTACGTGTAACCATATCCTGTAAAGGTACCAATGTTCTAGGCTTAGGTTTTGTTTGGGGCAATTTTGGCTACTTTTAAGAGCTTTTTCAACTACAATTTCAAAGATGTTTCTTCAAAAATAAATTTGAAAAAGCAATGAAAAGTTATCTACTAAATAAAAATTATTTTTCACAAACTTCTTTTCTGATATTACCAGTATTCATGGTGATAGATCTTAACTCATACTCAGCACGAAACCAACCAATCCTTGCGAAAGAAAAGTTAGCTTAGTCCCCTAGAATTTCGGGTGCCTACATTGGATGAATCTTGCACCAATTATGCAAAATTTAGAGATGACTGGACGCACAAAGAAGCCTATGCTTCTAGCTTTTCCAGTTGGGAAGATGAATTTGGATCATTGCCCATAACCAAAGTCATTTCCCTCTCCATGTTCATCTCCTCCTCTTCTGCCTGAAATGTTGAATGAACCCCATAAAGCAGGTAGAAAACCACAACGATGCAATTCCACACACCAAACCTCTGAAAAGACTCTTTCTTCAGAGAGCTCATAAGGAAAATATTGAGAAATATTGAAGCTGCTGCTGGCCATGGCATCAATGGCACTGACCACTTTAATGGCCGGTGATGACAAGGAACTTTGCAATGAAATAATGCAGTGATTGCTATTGTCAATCCCCCAAACAAAACCATCAACCACCAAAAGCTTCTTTTAAGCCTCCAGCATATGGAAAAGGCTATTGAGCTTGCTGTGAAGAGTAGCAAGAAGAGCAGGATAGGGAGAGGCTTGTTTGCACTTAGGCTCACATATCGCCTGTATATGAGCGCATTGGCGACTAAGTAGAACACAAATAAGGTACCAATAGAAATAATCTCGAGCACAATCTCAAGGTCAGTGAATAGAGCAATGGATGCTGTGCAAATCCCTGCACAAAATAATTGACATGTTTATGGTTGAAATGTGAAATGCAAGTTGGTTAAAAGATATTTTGGACTGAACTGTACATTGCTCTTTTATCAAAGGCATTTGTGAAGCAATACCAATCCTCTATGTGAATTTCGTTGCAATTCTTGAAATGAGAAGATTATGCATAACTATTAGGCTTCGTTTAGGACGGCTTTTTTACTAATTCTTAAAGCAGCATTCTAGCATAAAAATTAAATTTTTTTACTAAAAAGTTGCTTTAAAAAGCGGAAAGAAAGCCGTCCCAAACGAAGCCTTAACTATCACCTACCTAAAATGATGGTTGCATTCATTGGGGTCCCCGTAGAAGGATGCACCTTAGCAAGCCAAGATGGCATGAGCCGAGCCCTTCCTATGACACAAAGATATCGAGCCTGCCCAAGCATGGCAACTAGGAGTGATGCGACAATTCCAAGGCTGGCTCCTGCGCCAACAACATTGCCTGCCCACTTCCAGCCGACCTTAGTCTGGAAGGCTGAAGAAAATGATGCGCCTTCAGATATCTGTTTATGTTTATAGGTCAGTTTAACACAACAAAAAATAGCAACAAAAATGCTGGTATTAACTTTGTTATGTGATACCACTTGTTAGGATCTTGATTGAGGAAGAAGAACTCCCTTCACGAGCTTCTTGGGAGAGGAGGGAGAGAGGGAAGGGAAGAGGGAGATGACAGAACTCAAAAACTTTATTTCTTGATCATACCTATTAACAATCTATAAGGCCTCTATATATAGGCACAAAAGCAACATAACAAGCTAGCTACACAACTAGCTACAAACATAAAATTAGGACCAATATCTAACAAACTTTATGAAGATGAGCAAAGGATTCGTAAAGGTATGAGAACTGTTGGTGATAATGTTTTGATGAATTGTAGCACTTAAATTCTTGTTGTTTGGATCTTTTATCATAGAGTGATATTCTGGCAAATTGGGGCTGGTGATTACCATATAATAAGGAATCATGGAGGAAAGAGATAAGGCCATGAGGCAATATAATGCAGAGACAATCAGCACTGATCCGCCGATGCCAATAGGAAGGCTTTTGGAAGGGTATTTGATCTCTTCAGCCATTGTTGATACAGAGTCATAACCAATGTAGCTGAAGTACACCATAGCAGCTCCATCCACAACTCCTCTTACACCAAAAGGAGCAAACCCTTTAGGCTCTACCAAGTTTGTTGGGGTTCCATTGTAGAAGCCAGCAACAATCACAAACCCAAAGAAGATCACATGGAACACCGTCATAAGTAGGTTGAGCATGGAGCTCTCCTTGGTACTGTAATCTCAAGAGAAGTGGCTATGATCAACAATACTTGGACCATTATATTAGCATGAAATACTGGCATTATGATCCTTAATGTAAGTAAAAAATAAAGAATGATATGCTAGATTAGAATCCAGTGGACTATGATATCAAGAGAAATGAAAGGCATTAAAGACCAAAACAGTGAACTTTTGAGCGGGCAGCACTATCAAAATACCTAACAAAACCTTGAAATTTAGGCACATGGTTATAACCTGTGACACAAGCATAAAGTGAGAAGAATAACAAGAACAACTGCAGGAATATCCAAATTGTTGTAGTCCTTAGACAAGCCTCCAACTGTAATCCTCCATGAGTTTGGATCATCTAAACCAAAGGCGGTGCTTAAATACTCGGTAAAACTTCGCGCCACAGCAGCATTGGATAAGACATACTCAAGCAAAATGTTTGCTCCTCCAAAGTATCCCACAAACTCACCTGTGACATCAACCATGACATTTAGAACTAAGTCAAACGGTAAAAGATTCAAAATTTACTTGTGCAAGTAGATTTTTCATACCGAAGGTTACTCTAAGGTAGCTAAAAGCACCACCAGCAACTGGAATCTCCACAGAGAATTCAGTATAACAAAGAGATGAAAGGAAAGCAGAGATTCCAGCTATAAGATAGGATATGCAGACCGCTGGGCCAGAGAACTTGGCCGCTCGACCTGTGGTGACAAAAACTCCAGCTCCAAGCATTCCCCCTACACCAAGTGCCACGAGATCATACCACTCTAGCTTCTTCTTCATATCTGCTCCTGATCTTTCTCTGACTTGATTGAGCTCTTGGTCTGGGGTCCATGTTGCTAGCAATCTTCTTCTGAGTCTGTAGGGAGTTTGGGAGAGAGAATGAAGGATAGAGGAGAAGGGCGAGTGGTGGTGGTGGGGTGTTGCAGCTGGAGAGGAGGACATTCTTAGCTCCCATGCAAGTAGTTGCGTGTAAGGGATTTGTATCAATGTGGGGAGGTTTCTGAAATGTTTGAATAACACACGCTTTAGCTTTTTATTAAAATGACTATATAAACCACTACCTTCATAGGAATTGGCAAGTCATACCCCACTGTACATGGAGAAATTGTTACGTACGGTCACCGGACCGTTCAGAGGTGAATTAGGATGCGCCAAGTCACCCGATACACAGTGGTACACAGCAAAATTCTGATTTGCCTCCGAACAGCGTCTCGTGACCGCACATAATAATTTCTCCTGTCCATGCCACTGTATTTTGCAGCTTATTTTTATTCCGCGACTGATAAGTTGGAATTTCAACAGCCATCACATTATGTTTGGAAGATGCAGTTCTTTTGTGCCAGTATGATTAGAAGTTGTGTTAGAAGAATTATCCACATAAAAGCACCTCAGTTTAGTCATTTGGAGAGAATGACCATACAGGATTCATAAAACCAAACTAATTTGTTGGGTTAAGACTAATGATGGTGATAAATAATTCTTCTTATGCTAGTTTATAATGGTTGTTCAAAATATATGATTTACTTACTGCTCCTTGGAAGACATTTCGACTGTATGGTTGCTGGAAAAGTGTAAACCTCTCAGAAAGGAATCCTCATTTGTACTGCTATAATAGAAGAAAAATCTGAAAAAGAAAATTAAACATAAGATAAAGAATAAAATTCCTTAAGAAGATTTAGTAGTTCTTCAAGGTTATAAAATCCGTAAGATGAAGGATTATCTATCTATCAAAGCTTGTAACTAGAAATATAGGATAAAATAACTGCAAAACCCTCATGGATGGAAAAATTTTCAAGAGCCAGTATTGAAGATTCTCATCCTTCATTCTTCACTTCTTGATCAGTCCATTGGCTTGCTAGATAGGATAATTGGAGACTTGTTTGAGCATGTTTTCAGTGATTACTCATTGTTAAAATCCCGAAGAGAGCTGCCTTTCTATGGTACTAACAACTATCCCTATTAAGGTGTAATTCCATCAGAAATGGTTGATTAGTATCACTATAAATATAAAATATTGCTTTCCTATTCTATTTTTACTCTTTTGTTTTTTTAGAAAAGTTCCTATTCTATTTTTACTTGTGTAGATCTGACATACAAGACCTCGTGGGAGCATTTATAGTAGTTAATATGAAAATTTTATGATTATAATGTTGAGCAGAATTGATTATCTGTAGCAGTAGATAGAGCAAGCCTTTGATATGACAACTTTCATACAGAATTATTGAGTATACGATTAGGAAACCTGCAAGTTTTATACCTTTTTTCTTCTGTTTTGGTGAGAATCTGATACATAGTCAGCCTTCATGATCATGCTAGGTTCTTGATGAGCTTTGCATTTATGGTGTAGCTGAATAAAGCTTTGTATATCCATCCTCTCAATCTCTCTGTTTTCTCTAAATGTCTTTCAGGAAAATGTTCAGAAGATATAATTTACATATTTAATTGTTTAGCCCTTTGACCCTGCTTAGTGTGGCCAAACTGCCATACTGGCATGAAAGCCAAGTTTTTAGTAAATAAATCATAGGTTGGTCAAGTCATCCAAAGGCCGGCTGCCACAAAGCGTTAAATATTTTATTAAAAAAATATTGCTAGATAAAGATTTGATGGCAATTGGTTATAAATTATACTTACTTTTTGTTTAGAATGTTGATTTATTGGTTAAGAGCTTTGACTATTAATCTAAAGATTTTAAATTTGAAGCTTTAATAATATGATATTTGTATAAATTTATTTTAATTGGCTCAAATTTTCTACAATAAGAAAAAAAAGATTCATTAATCAATCATTGAGAGTTGTTAAGTAAAAACAATAAATTTTGTCATATTTCCTCTATAATAATTTACTTTATATTCATTTATTTTGCAAAGAGCTAAACAGGTCTACAGTCAAAAATAAAATATTTGCTTGCTCGATGGAAATAAAAAATAGGAATTTACATGCATATGACAAAATTTTTATATATTTATATATATAATAAATAATTTTTTTTATTTTTTATCAACTTAATATCTAAATCATATCAAAATATAGACATGAAAATATATGTTTTTTTTTTTAAAATAAAATTATCTTAATAGTTTAAAATCTCAATCAACAAGCTAAGATGACCCACATTGTTTTAAGAGAATTTAATAACAATATGCTCATTTTGACATGAGATTATAGATCATAATGAGAGAGCTTTGGCTAAAATTTGATTTAACCCCTATTTTTTAGGCAAAGTTGTACTTATCAAATCTAACAACTAAACAATAGAATAGAAAGTAGAAACCGACCCCACCAACTTTTAAAAAAGTGATTTTTATTACAGAAAAGGAACAAAACGTGCATAGAGTTTCAATTTTTTTAGCTACATTATCAATTTTATTTGAAAAGATAAGTATGTAGTTCTTGGACATAATTCTTTTATTTTTTGAGTTAGCTTATATTATTATTTGTTTTGCTCTTTATTATTTTGTATTGATATATTTATAAATTTTACAGACAATAATACATATTAAGATAAAATTAGTGATATAAAAATAAGAAAATCATTGATGTTAGATTGTATAGAAGGGAGTTACTCAAAATGATTTATTAAACATATATGCCATGATCATCTCATCTTGCACTTAATGAAAAAGTAGAAGAATTAGTAAAATTAAATATAAATTGTTGAAATAATGCTAATTAATTTTGACAAGTTAATTAAATATTGAGAATGTAAGTAATAATTTTGTACATCTAATCATGTAGCTTACTTTGATCTGTTGTTAGGTGGGAGCTTTAGCTATTAACCAAGATATTTTGGATTTGAAGCTTACGTATGTTATATATGTGTGAGTTTATCTTAATTGGCCTAAATATCCACAAAAAAGTCCATCTAATCCTTTTTAGTGTTTTGAATGTAATAGTCCATCTAATTTAGTCCACTAAAATAAGGGCCTATTGCTGATCTTTGGATTGACTATTATTTTTTGACTTCTGAAAATGGTTTGCATTATGAAACAACCTAAAGCTATTAGTTGTCCACTTGAGGATGATATGTAATGAAGTTTAAGTATTAAATATAGTATTGTAGTTTGTTGATCAAATTATGCACTTAGGGATCGTAGTCGGTGGATGAAGGTGGTCGGAGGGTCCGTAGTCGGCGAGCAATGTTGGTCGAAGGGACTATAGTGGACGAACGATGCTGGTTGGAGGGACCGTAGTCGATAGGCGACAAAGGTAGGAGTGGATTGCAGTTGGCTGATGCTAATGGTCAAAGGGAACATAGTTGGCAGGTGACGGCTGTCGGAGGGACCATAGTCAGTGGTTGGAGGAGCTATTGTGGGCAGGTGATGGTGGTCGAAGGGACTATAGTCGGTGAGCGACGATGGTTGGAGGGACCGTGGTGATTGGAGGACGAGGGGTGGTCGACGGTTGGTGACCAGGTGGAGGTCCTTTGTTGGTTGGCAACCCGACGATGGTTGGAGGTTGGGTGGTGGTTTGGCGGTCGGATGGTGGTATGACGATGGTCAGAGGGATCGACTTTGATCGACGGATGAGCGGTGGTCCGACGATTGTTGGCAGTCGGGCAGAGGTCCTACGAAGGTTGGCGGACTCGGTGGTGGTTCTATGGTGTTTGGCGGCCAGGCGGTGGTCCTACGATAGCCAAAGGGGCCGACGGCGATCGACTGGCGAGCAGTGATCTGACGCTGTTGTTGGCCGGGCGGAGGTCTTATAAAGGTTGGTGGCCCAACGGTGGTTCGACTACGATCAGCGGTTGGGCGGTGCTCCGATAATGATTGGGTGGTGATCGGTGGCATGGTGGCAGTCTGGTGATGGTCGACGATTGGTAGGCAAGCGAAGGTTCGGCGGTTGTCCAGTCGGCCGACGGCAGTTCGCCTGCGATGGTGCTTGGGTGAAGTTCTAGAACCTTGAAGCCTCATTGTTCTCTCCAATCTCTAAACATAGGTTCTAAGCCCCCTTTCATTTAGGAAGAGTGGTTCTATTTATAGATTTTTGGGAATGGCGTACCACGTAAATATGAAAAAGATCTGAGACAAATTTGGAGTTCACCATCGGACAACCTATATTGATTCCCTCTATCATAGAGCGTTTATTAAGCATTTATATGCTCAAATGATGTCATAATTTAGGATTCTTAGGCTTGTTGGATTCGTCTCGTTTAGCCGCTCAATTCGACTATAAACATGCTATATTTGGATATCATTTGATCATCCAAATTGTGCTTTGAACTTTTCAAATGTGCTTCAACCCCCTGATTTGGACCTATTTTTTGCTCAGATTGGACCGATTTTGATGTCATTGGGTTTGTCTCTTCGAGATGTTCAGATCAACTATAGGTTTGCTGAAATTTGAGTTTGGATGACCCCGAATTTAATTTTGAAACTTGTCAACTAAGATGTGCATAGAGATTCGTCCTGGATCAAGACCATTTGGGTGACGTATTAATTAGTGTTAGAACATTAGGGATAAACCTATAGAATTACATCCGTTTCATTAAGAGGGATTCGAATTGTCCAAATTCAAAAATTTAAGCTCCACGAATCGCACCTAATTATATAGACGATACTGAGCGAATAAGAGAACAAAGCAATAGAAAGCGAAACAAGAAATATGGGGTTGGAAATTCTAATTTTTTTTAAAAATATGTTTGCTTAGGGCTGCAAGCGAACCAAGCGTTCGACGAGCTACTCGATGCTCGGTTCGATTAAAGCTCGTTTGTGATCGTTTAACTAATTAAACAAACAAACTTGAACAACATTTTAAATACTCGATCCTTAAATAAACAAGCTTGAACACTAATGTGTTCGGTTCATTTATGTTCACGAACAACATCATTTGAAGTTCATGAACAAGCTCGACATTAAGTTTGATAAAAAGCTCGAATGGAGAGAAATGCAATAGGTAAGCTTCATTTAAGAATATATTCATATAAATTAATCATATTTTTATTTTAAATAGATAACTGCTTTTATTATAAATTTAATTTTCCGAACAAA